GATTATACATGTATAATCGATAGAAAACATTTTCGTCGATTATACTTATTTTCGACACACGTTTATTCAATAATTTTTTCTGTCGATTATGTTTATCGATTATACCTATAATCAACAGAATTTTTTATATAGTCAACAAAATTTTCTATCAATTAAAAACTATTTTTTAGTAATGAGTTAAAAGAGTAATAAATGTATTTTTTTAATTAATTCATATTAAAATTTATAAAAGTTGACATATATTTTAACATTACATGAATGATTTTAATTGGTTAATTGATTAAATCAAAATTAATATTTATCTTGTAAACCCAGCTAGCTCCCCAAGAGGGGGGTGAATTGGGTCATATCAATTTAATTCAAAATTTGTTTCTTTTTCTTTCAAAACTTGAATCAAATTTCCAATATATAAATTGTTGTGCAAAATAAACAAAGAATAATTGCAATCTTGCAGATAAAATGCAAAAAAATAAAAAGAAAGGGAAGAGAATATCAAGTCGTGATTTATAGTGGTTCCTCCAACTCGGAGTACGTCCACTCCCTAAACCTTCTTGCTCGAGAGTTCAATCCACTAGGATTTTCTTACTTATGAGTGCAAGATTAAACTAAAACAAACTCTTGTTTGCAGGTGCAAGATTAAACCCTCACAAGTAAATCTCAACAACTCACTTAACTCCTTTAAGGATTATCCCAATAAAAAAAAAATACAAAACCCTTGTAAGACAATTAACCCAAAAGCTCACAAGAAGAAGAAGAAGAAGATTCAGAATAGTTTCAATTTCAAAAACTGTTTTTCTCCATCTTTGTCTAGAGAAGTCCATTCAGGAGTTGCTTTAGATCTGATTTTCAAAGCTCTTTAATAGTTGGTTGGGAGCTCTTACAATTAAAGCCTATTTTGCCCTTCAAAGCCACCTCACAATTGTTCCAATAAGATTTCACCCTTTTTCGACTTTCTATAACAGACTCTGACTTGTCTTGGAATGTGCTTAGTCGTTTGTATCCTTCTAAGACCCATTAAAACAAAACAGATAATTGAACTATTAAAGTTTTGCTTTCTAAAATTTTTTGCTTCGAAGCTAGAAATATTGGTTCGAACCGTTTTCGAAAAAAGAATTATGAGATTGGTTCGAATCAAGTGGAATTGATTTGAACCTAGAACTCTACACAAAGAGGACATAATTTAATTATAATCGTGGGGAAATATTAAAATCTTTGAATTAGCTTTCTTGCACACTTAACTCAAAAATAAATTAAACTCTTTCAATCATAATTTTAAATCATAATTTTAAATCATCATCAAAATACAAAGAAAACCTAACATATCTTTTTAATAAAAATTAATTATAAAAATATACATTTATTGCAACTTTAGAGTGCAAGATACAAAATTCTAATTAAAAAAAAATTAAACATGAAATTCTTGACTTAGTTTATCAATTGAAGTTCATTTACAAATAATCAATAATTTTTTTTTAGTCAGCTAATCATTGAAATATTCTTCTTGAATTGGAGTTCCTTAACGCTCAAATCGTGCATGGGTTACGAAAAGAAAAGGGCAAGAAGGAAAGGATATCACAGTCAACTTAATATTGAAGAGCCATGTCAAGGAAGAA